TTATTATTATTATTATTATTATTATTATTATTATTATTAGGGCTTGGGAAATAGTCCCATATTATTATTATTTTATCTCCTACAAAATGTTTAGACAATTTTTTAAGACTAACAGATTTATTTATTTATGTACTTACTAGCTGTCCCCTGCCACACGTTGTTGTGGCCCTCCTGTATATATGTATTTGTGTGTATATATATGTGTTTATGTGTGTGTGTATATTTGTGTATCTGTGTATATATGTGTGTGATCCTGGACTCATCGCTGAGCCTGGAACCCCAGGTTTCGGCGGTGACCAGGGGAGCATTTGCACAGTTAAAGCTTGTGCGCCAGCTGCGTCCGTACCTTGGGAAGTCTGACTTGGCCACGGTAGTCCACGCTCTGGTTACATCCCGTTTAGACTACTGCAACGCTCTCTATGTGGGGTTGCCTTTGAAGACGGCTCGGAAGCTCCAACTAGTCCAACGCTCGGCAGCCATGTTACTAACAGGAGCGGAGCGCAGGGAGCATACAACTCCTTTGCTGCACTAGCTCCACTGGCTGCCGATTTGCTACCAGGCTCAATTCAAAGTGCTGGCATTGGCCTATAAATCCCTAAACGGTTCTGGCCCAAGCTACCTATCCGAACGTATCTCTGCTTATGAACCCACCAGGACTCTAAGATCTTCTGGGGAGGCCCTGCTCTCGATCCCGCCTGCATCACTGGCACGGCTGGCGGGGACGAGGGACAGGGCCTTTTCTGTGGTGGCCCCTCAGCTGTGGAACGCCCTTCCCATGGACATTAGATCAGCCCCTTCGTTAATGGTGTTTTGAAGAAAACTAAAAACCTGGCTGTTCGAACAGGCGTTCGGTTAAACAATGCAGTGTACACGATGAATATAGGAAACGGAATTATGGAAGACAAATTGGATCACGATTCTATTTACGAGACATTAATGTGTTGTTATTGATGTGTCATTTTGTATATTATTCTGTTAATGGTTTTTAAATTTTGTATCCTGTTGGATTGACTTTTGCTCTTGTTGTAAACCGCGTTGAGTCGCCTATAAGGCTGAGAAATTGCGGTATACAAGCAAAGTAAATAAATAAATATATGTGTGTGCGTGTGCATATTTATTATTATTATTTATTTATTTCGAGGTTTTATATACCGACCCTCTCACCTTCAAAGAGGGATTCGGACCAGTTCACAACATGTGTTAACATACAAAGAATATACAATAACAACACAATGCTACTTCATTACACGATTAAAATATCAGCACCATACACATTAAAACACTATTATCCCAGTTAAAAGACCCAAATTGTCCAACACCATCACAATCCCATTCATCATCCTCCTTTCATGTGGGCAAAGAATTAAATCAGTTGTCAAATGCCACGTTCCACAACCAGGTCTTTGTTAATTTCCTGAATGTGATGAGGGAGGGGGCAGTTCTGATCTCTAATGGCAGGGAGTTCCAAAGTCGAGGGGCCACCATCAAGAAGGCCCTGTCCCTCGTCCCCACCAGCCGTGCTTGTGCAGGCAGTGGGACCGAGAGCAGGGCCCCTCCAGACGATCTTAGTGGTCTTGATGGTTCGTAGGGGAGAGAATACGTTCAGAGAGGTAAACGGGGCCGGAGTCGTTTAGGGCTTTATAGGTTAACACCAGCACTTTGAATTGTGCTCGGAAGCTAATCGGCAGCCAGTGGAGTTCGAGTAACAGCGGAGTGGTGTCGTTTACTATTATTATTATCCCCTACAAAATGTTTAGACAGAATTTTTAAGACTTACAGATTTATTTAGTTATGTACTTACTAGCTGTCCCCTGCCACACCTTGCTGTGGCCCTTCTGTATATATGTATTTGTGTATCTGTGTATATGTGTGTTTGCATATGTGTGTGTGTGTGTGTGTGCATATGTGTAGATGTGTATATTTGTGTGCACATATTTGTGTGTTTATATGTGTATATGTATGTTGTGTATATGTGTGTGCTTGTCTATATGCATATTTGTGTTTATATGTGTGTGTATGTGTGCATGTGTATATTTGTGCATGTATATGTGTGTGTGTGTGCAGATGTATGTGTGTGTATAGTTGTGTGTGCTTGGGTATATTTTTATGTGTGTGTATGTGTGTGTGCATGTGTTTATGTATATGAGTGTGTGTGTATGGTGCATTTTGGGGGGTTTAAGTCTGTTCTGCTGGGGGGGGTGTATTTTTAGTGGTGATGAACACTCGGACTGAGGTGTATTGTGTCAAAAATTGTGTCATCCAGGCCGCCCCCCCACCCCCGGCCACACGTTGCTGTGGCCCACTCTGGTGGTCATGGGGGTTCTGTGTTGGAGGATATAAATACATATAATACTGCTAATAATAATAACAATAAATATTTCTCTGTTTTTCTTTTCCAGAGTAGCTAATTCCATCAGGAGAGTGTTCATTGCTGAAGTTCCCACCATCGGTATTTATCTATTCTTTATTATTTTTCTATTAATTTATTTTATTTTAAACATTTATATTCCACCCTTCTCACCCAAAGGGGACTCAGCATATATACGGCAAACATTCAATGTTGGGACTCAAATTCTTATATGTATACATAAACAGTATGTTAAAGTCCAATACTACGAATTGAAGACTTTGAGCATGATTAATCAAATTGCTATTATCTCATTTTGTACTATTTTGTTTGCAGCCATAGACTGGGTACAGATAGATGCCAACTCCTCGGTCCTCCATGATGAGTTTATTGCACATAGGTTAGGTGAGTAACCGGCATAAGACACGATAGGAAAACACAGGCTTCTCTAGTTTTGTTTTTAAAACAATATTTTATTATGAGCGTAATTCAAATAAAATACATTCCAATGCTTTGATGCCGAGGCTCTTTCTATCTCTGGATTTTTCATAAAATAGTGTAATGCCCAACACATTTAATTTTTCAGATTTTACTAACATTCAACATTATTAATTACATTTTGAGTAATATCTCCAAGTTTTTCTTCTCCTGCTATTTTTTTTTCTTATGTTTTATGCCCTTTGGGAATTCTGGGGCCTGTGAACCATGTGATTCCATGTAATAAATAATAATAATCTATATAAATAAAAAATGTAATGTTTGTTTGTGGACTTAACAGAACTCAAAAACCACTGGATGAATTGACACCAAATTTGGACACAAGACACATATCAGGCCAATGTATGTCCTTCACTCAAAAAAATTGATTTTGTCATTTGGGAGTTGTAGTTGCTGGGATGAATAGTTCACCTGCAATCACAGAGCATTCTGAACCCCACCAACGATGGAATTGAACCAAACTTGGCACACAGTTCTTCCATGACCAACAGAAAATACTGGAAGGGTTTGGTGGGCAGTGTCCTTTGGTTTTGGAGTTGTAGTTCACCTACATCCAGAGATCACTGTGGACTCAAACAACGATGGATCTGGACCAAACTCTACACAAATACTCAATATGCCCAAATGTGAACACTGGTAGAGTTTGGGGAAAATAGAATCTTGACATTTGGGAGTTGTAGTTGCTGGGATTTATAGTTCACCTACAATCACAGAGCATTCTGAACCCCACCAACAATAGAATTGGGCCAAACCTCCCACACAGAACCCCCATGTGGGCCACAGCAATGCGTGGCAGGGGACGGCTAGTAGTAGTAGTAGTAGTAGTAGTAATAATAATAATAATAAACTTTATTTATACCACGCCACCATCTCCCCAAGGGACTCGGAGCGGCTCGCATGAGGCCAAGCCTGATAATACAATAAAGCAAAAATACAGCATAAAAATACAATAATGTAATGTCAATATAAATAAATAATAAAATAAAAATAAAATACAAGAAGCCATACAGATAAACACCAAACAATATACAACCACAATAATTAGATCATGAAAATCTCCCATGGTTTTGAAACCAGAATATATCTTGTTTCTTCCTAGGTGTTTGTCTTTTATCTTGCACCTGAGTCTATATGTGTTTTCACTACTTTCTCTACTTCTCGCTAGGTCTGATCCCTCTTACCAGTGATGATGTTGTTGATAAACTGCAATATTCCAGGGTGAGTCTAAGTCTCAGTGGGTGGAGGCCTTATTTTCTTGGAATATATATAAATAAAAATGTAATGTTCGTTTGTGGGATTAACATAACTCAAAAACCACTGGGTGAATTGATGCCAACGAGTGACCATCACCCCTAAAACACACAAAAAACCCAGCAGAATGAACTTTAAACCCCCCCCCCCCCAAATAAACCATATATACATATACACATACATTCATATACACATGCACACATACATACATACATACACAAACATTTATATATGCCATCACACACAAATATACACACCTACATATACACCTACACACATACACATACATACACACATATATGCATATACACAAGCACACACATATGTACAATATTCATATACACATATAAACACAGAAATATACAGAGACACGTGCACACATATACACACATATATATGTACGCAAGCATACACAAATATACACATACAGTATACATACATATACACCTACACACATATATGCATATACACAAACTCACACATATACACAATATACGTATACACAGATAAACACAGAAATACACAAATATGTACATATAAATACACACAAATATTCACATATACACACCTACATATACACCTACACACACACATATATGCATATACACAAGCACACACATATGCACAATATACATATCCACATATAAACACAGAAATATACACAGACACATGCACACATATATACACACATATATATGTACGCAAGCATACACAAATATACACATACAGTATACATACATATACACCTACA